AGTAGAGCCCGGCGTTACCCGGGGTTGTAACAGTAAGAGATAGATCAAGTATCGACTGAAAAATAAAATTGACAAAGATTATTGTTTAAGGTTGACGGACACGCAAGTCTTAATTATTATTTTTTTTTTTTTTTTACGAATTGGTCAAACCCAAACTCAAACAAAAACATTGTTTTCAATCGTTATGTGTCTACCGATTGAATGGAATTTTATTAGAAACAATTGTCTTGTAAATGGAATTTTTAAAGCATTTTGAATGTAAAAATAAAGAAGACAGTGTACAAGACAATAAGAAACACTACCTGCCAAAAATAAAAGTGAAGTTTTGTTGAAATCGGTTGAAAAATGTAGGAAATCCGATCCCATATATAAACGAACACACCCACACCCCCACACACACAACCTGGGTTTTATAATAAGTATAACTCGATATGAGTTGTCCCCCTTTCATTCTCGCGACAGTAATGCCTCTTAATCGTGTTTTCAAATTGATTTCGTGCAAAAACAATTGTGTTTTTCCAATTTTTGGCGCTGTCAGAACCACCGCAAGGTAATTTTACGTAGTCCTTTGAAGTTTTGTTGAAATCGGTTGAAAAATGTAGGGAATCCGATCCAATATATAAACGTACAGACACACACGCACACACACACAACCTGAGTTTTATAATAAGTATGATTTCACTTAAAACTGTTTCTGATTAATATATTTCTGAAATCAACTATTATTGCTGTATATATTGATTGAAGTTTCTTTCTCAGCATTTTCTTTAAGGTACGATGGAAATTCAGCATTTTTTCTTTCTCTTCAGGGTGAACGATGGAAATTTTGCTTCGACTATTGATACATGTTTATCAATATATGTGGATAACAACGGCGTAATTGTTGGAATTTTCAAATATTCTAGAGGACATAGATGATTCGAACAATTTTTTTAGTTCTTTATTCATTTTTACTCATTATTTTTTGTTGATGAAAATAATATACATAATTACCTTGATCTCAGAAATATAGACAGATAAAAAAACAAAAAATCAAACAAATACATATTTTAGGTCTACACGTGAGAACAATTTTGTATTTCTTTAAGGCTGATCAATGAATCTATTGCAAAATCAAAACAACAGATTGCTCAAGTTCTCATGTACCACATTTTGAGATTTCATTTCAAAATTTTGATAGCTTATTGAAGATCTACAAAATACATTGCAATCATTGAATTAAGGAGGCACTTTTTTTGTTTGCAACTCATTATTATTTTTATTATTATTATTATTGTTGTTGTTGTTGTTGCTTTATTTCCTTTGATTTCTGACCCCATTTCATTCTCCCTTAGGGCATCATGGAAAGGACAAAAAGAATAAAAATATAAATAAAATTTTTAAAAAAAACAATATTTTACATAGATAAAGACCTTCGTAAGGTGTGGGCTGTACTTGTTAGAACAATTTTTTGAGGCATGGACTTCCAGGAATCCCTTCAATTAGTCTACTGCAATCTTTTCCCAACCAGTCCTAAAGCTCGAACTGATAGGATTGTTGATGTTCATATGACGCAGAGATTTCTATTTCAAGGTCCTTGTATTTTGACAGCAATATCTTCAAAGATACATTGCAGTCTTGACTGCCATATCAATAAGGAGAAATTATTAATTATTATTATTATTATTATTATTATTAACAGTTTATTTGTGTTTACGTGTGTTTTTCGATTTGTTTATTATTTACAAAACTAGGATTTTAATTTTTTCCGATCGTATTTGTTTAGTTTAAAGGATTGGCTTTTTCTTAAGTATGTTATATACATTGTATGCAATGTACCTGTTTGTATTTTTCGTTACGGTTTTTTTTTTTACAGGATATTAGTTTTTAGTCTTTGCTTTTTGAAGTAACGTAGTTAAAGTTTTGTTTTCGTGTCTGAAACTGAATATAATTGTTCATATTTTTTTCATTTAAATGTTCAAAAGTAACATTCAAGACAAGGAAAATTACAGTCAAAAAAGCTAAAGTAACAGAAGTTATTTAAGGAAAATACCGCATACACAAATGACGAAGAAATTTAAAAGAAAAGGAAATGAAATGCAAATTGAATTTAATTCATAAAACAGAATATCAGTCATAGATATTTTGCTGTCTCTGTGACTTTCACAGGAATTATAGTGTCAAAACGAGAAAGCTTCAAACTTACCACCGTATGCGTTCAGTTGCAATCTGTATGGCCAGATCCGAAGGATGTTAACTAGAACTGTCTTATAAATCCTTAAAATTGGTCTTCAAAGATATCTGAAGACTAGATAATATGTTTCAAAGAACATTAAAGAAACGTTTATTTAGCTCATTCAAAAGCAAGGATACTCATTTATATGTCCAAAAAACGATGGCAAGATAAGCCTTTTCATTGTCAATACTCTATGGTTATACGTGCAGGTTTAAATGTTGAAGGCGAAGGTTTCTTTCTCGCTTTCATTACTAAGAGAATACTGAAATATCTTGACCCCAAATGTAAATTTTGCGATGAATATCCAGAAATAACTGACCATCTTTAATCAGGGTTGTAGCCCTTGAATATAAAATTCGTCCTGAAAACATTTTTTGTCCTGTATTATTTGATCTCTACTATTCCATACGTAATAAACTCTGCCTCAAGCTGCTATCTATTTTCGGACGGGAGGAACCCGAACGAGGCTACGCCGAAGGGCGTTAGGTTTATACCGGTTCAAAGATGGGACTCGAGATCCCACGTTAAACCGGCCTTGTTTTGGTGGGTTCAGTCCGAAGTCGGGAGACCGGCTGATCGGTTGAACCCTATGCCTTCGCAACGTACGCTGAAGGGCAGAGTACCAAATTTTATACGGGCATATTTTTAGCCCCAAGGCCTATTTTGTCATTATGTACCATAGAAAAACAGAGTTTAACTCTTAGATACAGGTCGAGACCCCTAAGTTTGTAATATATCTGTGTTATTCCATATCCGTGTTCGTTAAAGGTTCTACCTTGGACCATAACTTGAGACCAAGTGTTTTCATTGTCAGATATAACATCATAACATTGGTGTTTTTGACAGTTTTCCATCTGCTGAGGTGCATTTACAACAAGAAGAAATTAATGGTATCCTACCCATCACACCTATTAGGAAGTTGTAGAGATTTATCCTCGTCAGTCTCCTGCCTTTTGCGATGAACAATGTTCGTATCTAACCCTTTCCACATCACATGTTATCATATATCCAGAGATCTATTCGACTTTTTATTTATATAGTCAACAGTCCGTACGATATAAATAGGGTAAATAGTTACAATACTACATCTCAAAAATATACATATCACGGTTTCAACACCCCGCCCACCAGCAGTATTTGCCACCAGGCAGGGTATGAAGATAAGCTAATTGATCGTTCCTCTTTGTAAATTCTTGTAATAAAATAGATAAAACAATTGTTCTTCTTTGCAGTCTACCCCAGTGAACGAAATAAAGGCTTTAGTTTGATATTCCAACCACTTGAAGAAGGCCGGAGCGTACAACGGCCGGAACGTTGGAATAAATATGACGACATAGATGAGAACAATAGTTCGAATAATGTAAATAATATACATAATACCTCATCTCAGAAATATAGACAGATACTGAAGGTCACTCTGATCACAAAAGAAAACAAAAACAGCAACTTGGCAATCGAATTGAATCAACCATCTCCCCAGGCTCCCTAGGCGTTGAAAGGAGCCAATATTTAAGCGCGGGAGAGAGCTGAGCTTCACTTAAAGTGAGTCAGCGCAGAGATAAGCAAGAACTTGCAATACATAACAAGAACAGTCTGACGTGATTGCCGCAAAGGAAGATCAAGCCAATTCCGATGTAAGCAGTGCCGGATTAAGCTTGGATAAATAAATATCTGATGAAATATTTTATGGCACCTGTCAAAAACTAAAGCGTAACAGACTTATTTAGCAAACGGAGGCAAATTGTAAATGTTGACTTTAGAGTTCAGTTGCCCAATGGAGAGTAGTTTGCCCGCGTGCTCGCTAGGATACTCATTTATATGTCCAGCCTTCTTCTTCTCTGTGCAGTTTCCTTTCAGGAGAAGTCTCTCCACAGTTTCTTGTCCTTTGTAGCCCTTAGTAAATATTATTTGATCTCTCCCAAACTCTGGCCTATTTATTTATGTTTAGGTAGGTTATGTGCTGTTTTGGGTCCCCTCAGTGCAGTGAGACTGTTATTTTTTCATTATGTACCATAGAAATTTTAACTCTCCGGATGAAACTTTGCCTGCGGAGTATTAACGACTAGCGGTTGACCCTTTCAATCTATTCGAGTTAATATTTAACAACACCCCGCCCACGAGGGTGTATGCCAAGGCCAGTTTCTTGGGGTAAAACAGGCTCAGTGACTGACAGTTTGAAAGCATCCTAGGCAGAGAATTCGACAGAACTGTTAATATTTAACAGCCCCTGCCCCACAGGGTGTATGTGGAACAAGGCCAGTTTCTTGGGGTACTCCGGGCTCAGTATGTAACAAGGCTTCATCTGAGTTCTCTGCCGAGGCAGAGTTTCGACAGTTTGAACAATCTATGCGACTGGTTTTTATTGTGGGTACTCCGAGTCCGTAGGCTCGGCCAAAAATATTCCCTTTGAACCCGCCTAAACTGTCAACTTCCCCGGGTTCTCTCTGTCGAGGCAGAGAGTTTGGGAGGGAACAATCTGTGCGGCTGTTATACCTGTCCCCACACAAGGAATCGGACGAAAGTTTAACTTTTCTCCGCCCTGCGTTCGAAACTTTGTCCGAGTTTCTTTACTGCCGAGGCAGAGAGTTCAACAGTTTGAACAATCTATGAGACTGTTCTCCCAAGGCTTTATCTCCTACTAATCTTATATTAGGCGGAAGAGTTCAACGTCGACTCTTTAGAGGGAGAACACCACAATATCTCTTTCTGATATTTAAATTTGTGTGGACCTTTTGATTCCATTTTCTATAAAACATCCATGGGGGAAGAGGGAAACTTCGTATACTTCACGACGGGAACCTCCTCGATGTCTTTGCAGATACACCTGCCTTTCTGCCTGTTGCTCGTCTGGTCCTGGCTGAAATTCTTCTCATCAGAAAAGAACCTCAGCATCCCGGCGGACCCGTGCTTGAGCTCGTTCAGCAAAGCCGCCGACTCATTCGTGATGAACATGCGGAGGGGGTAACCAATGTCCTTCTTGATCGTTCGACAGATCATCGACTTGCGACAGCCCATGTCAGCGGCGTTCTTGGCGTAGCTCTGGTTTCCATCATTGTCGACTGTTTCCTTGACTCCTTGACTAACGGCCGAAGAACGAACGATGTGATCCTTTCGTTTGGCAGTAAACTTGTCCTTGTTCCCTCCCGCCTTCCACTTCCTCCAAATGTCCATGACCATGGTCCTCTTGAACTCAAACCTGGCTATTCCCGACGCGAAAAGAAGCTACTACCGCTGCTCAGCGCTCATATTCCATCCTGGAAAAGGGTAGAGAGAAAAACGTTATTTAGTTGTCAAACTGTCGTGTATCTGCATATACAACTTTTGTTTTTATAGCCTAATTCGTCTTCTTTTTGTCAAGTATCGGATTGTGCTGCAACACCCTGCATATCTCTGGGATGATGATTGCTTACATTATTTACATCCTCATCTTCATTCTAGAATTTAAAACTTTGGGTCGATGTACGCTCTGGAACATCAGATGACTGGAATTTCGAACCGAAAACATTATTTCGTCCACCGGGATAGATTATTCTAGTTTCACGTGACATTTCTCAAGGACACGTGGTCCAGTGGATAAAGACTTTAAATAGATCCAGTGAGTGAGTGCTGTGAGTTCAATAACAGGCCACAGAGAGTTGAATTAGAGAGAAATATCAGAGACACCCGGAAGAGTCATGGTACATAGAACTGGAACAAATTTACCCCAGTGTACGAAATAAAGGGTTCGATTGGAAATTCCAATCACCTGAAGAAGGTCGGAGCGTACAATGGCCGAAACGTTGTAAATAAGGCAATGAAGATGAGGATAACAGACCGAATAATAGAAATAATTTTTTAAGTAATGGAAACTCTTGTCATAATTACTGATACTATGAAAATAAAAAGGGATTATAAGTAAAATTAGAAAAGTTGTTAAAATAACAGATTTCAAAAATTATCAATTAAATAATAATTACAGTGTAAATTTTTTAAACAAAAACGAATGACTACAAAATTAAAATTAAAATTAAATGACACATTCGAAAAATACATTAATTATTCTGAAAGTATTTAATTAATTTTTAAGAAATAACCAGAAATTAAAATAATGGAAAAGATATGTGTGCATTTAGTGTGTTGGCTAACTCAGAAAGAGAGAGAGGGAGATTGACAGACAGTCAAACAGACAAATATAGATAGATAGATAGATAGATAGATAGATAGATAGATAGATATTGGGTTGTCAGATAAATTGGGTCGTTTATCATAATTATTTTTAATTAATATGGTAAATAATTTTAACTACTTTTTTATGTATTTATCTGGCTTTAGAGTTCTTCAGCTTATTTTGTTTATCGTTTTAATAACAGAAAAACGAATATATTTATCTGACAACCCAACAAAATGGATGGATAGATAGTTAGATAATACACATACAATATATATATATATATATATATATATATATATATATATATAGAGAGAGAGAGAGAGAGAGAGAGAGAGAGAGATTAAAACATAAAAAGGAAGAGTTGACAAGATTTAGATTGGTAAAGAGATAGAAAGACAAACATACAGATAGATATTTTTTCAGACAAATGGATGGAAAGAAAGACGGCAAGTGTTATATATATATATATATATATATATATATATATATATATATATATATATATAGATAGATAGATAGATAGATAGATATTATTCAGACAAATGAGTGTAAAGAAAGAGACGGCACGATATATATATATATATATATATATATATATATATATATATATATATATATGGAGAGATAGTTATTTTTCCGACAAATGGATGGAAAAAAGAATGAAGGCAAGTTTTATAGTGGTAAAGAGAGACACAAGCTCACACACACACATATATATATATATATATATATATATATATATATAGATAGATAGATAGATAGATAAAGATTTCCATGATTTGCACGCATAATATAGCATGTTGATGTTTTATATTTCTGACAATGCATAATGGAACATTTTGGTTGATGCAGCGAAATGAAAATGGGCGTTCTAATGAAATAATAGCTTTTCGCATGGCACGGACTTTTTTCCTATTTCTGTACATACATGCACCCACGTGCATGCATGCACACACGCACACACACGTACACACGCATTCGCACACAGACATGCACATACACAGACACACCCCTACTTATGTTTATTAACAAAATACCCCTAGAAAGTCTTTATATCACACAATATAAATGATATGACTTCTAACAGAATAAAAAATCATTTTCACTTAACGTGCCCGTAACAGTAGGAGATAGGTTTTAAATTGATGCATTCTGAAAGATTATGAATACAGTTAAGCAATATTTATTTACCCTGCATATATATATATATATATATATATATATATATATATATATATATATATATATATATATATATATATATATATATATACGCGTATTATATATTATTATTAATATATACGTATATGCTCTGCCATTTAGCATTGATCACTGTTTTATATAAAATGATTTATGTATTTCTTTGTATGTGAAAACCTACATGTACATTCATTTATATTTATGCATTTGATTATATATAATTAATTATGATTATCTCAAATCCTCCTAATAATTTCTATCACTTGCACATCCTTGCTTGAACCGGCTTTAAATGCTCTGGATTGAGCGGCTTCGTGATAGTAGTTCTGGCTATAGGCGGCACAGTCCGATGTGTTAGGAGAAACTCAGATGAATTCCACCACGGAATATGTGATCGAACGACTCTATATCGAGTCTCATTCGCTACCTCTTCGTCATCGTGGTATGACGTTTGCCTGATAACGTAACTGTCCGGGTTTCAATTCTCGGTAGTGTATGCACACTGCTAATGAGTCCCAAATATAGGACGAAACGGTCGTCCAGTGCTTTCAGCATTCTGTTGAGTTTTCTTCTAGACGCGATGAATTACTTAAATATAATTATCTCAAATCCTCCCAAGTTCTATCACTTATACATACATACATACATACACACACACACACACACACACACACATATATATATATATATATATATATATATATATATATATATATATATATAAATATAAAGTGCGTTCAATAAGTCGTTTATATTAAATTTGGATCGTGGGCACTTCGACGTAGACGTTTATTAAATAATGTAACTAATAATAGCAAAATAAATTCATAGATTCATGGAAGATTGAAGTTTATAAGCAGTAAATTCAACCTTTGTGGCCGAGCGGTCAAGGCACGTCAGCGTAAATGACGGTTCCGTATAGGATGCAGGTTCGAATCCTGTCAAAGGACGAATATTTTCTATGAAATTTTCTCGGACATTCAGGTCGGTAAATGTTATTTAATACTGTTTATTATAAACAGAGCATTTACTTAAATACTTGTATCTATAAAAAGAACGTTAAACATAAAAATGTCTTTAATAAATAAATATATATATATATATATATGTATGCATATTCGAATCTCGCCATGGTTGATTTTTCAGGAAGGAAACTTCTTGATGTTGTCGGTCTGGAGGGGGGCGTTCCTAGCGCGCAGCACCTTTGGAAGGTGCCTGAAATCCATACTACAGCTTGACCCAGGAATCAGCTTTTTATACGGGAAATTTTTTGTTACCGAGCCTACGGGCTCGGGTACCCTGCATTAATTTCAGCCTTCTGCCATATCTGACCACATGGAGCGGTTGATAGGTATCCTTGCTTCGGTAATTTCTAGCCTGCCACTCGATTGTCTTTTTTACAGTAGTGTATTCTCTTTATAATAAAACTCTCTTCTTTCTTCTACGCGCGTGTTGCTGTTCCTTCACTCGAGTACCACTTTTGTCTGCTTGTAACTTTTTTTAAGGATACTACAGTATATTTAAAAATGTTCTCATATATATATATATATATATATATATATATATGGTACGTTCCAATCTGGTAACAATATCAGGAAAACATACGGCTCCGCCATTGTTGAGCACTTTATAAACAATCTAAGTTATGCCACAAATTTAGGCATTGACTCATTTTCTGTACTTAGTCATGCTCATTCTGTGTTGCACTTAAAAGTATTGGAAACGATCTATGCCAGGTCCAAGCAGCCCTCACTCTGTAAACAGAGGGAATGCCTGTTAGGGCTTGACATGATTTCCATGTGATTTTTCCACCTTTATTTTGTCACATGCTTTTTATGTTTTTATATTGCAATATTTAGTCTTTCCTCGATTTCAGTTCTGTTGAGTGAAAGCGAAACCGGTCGACTTGTCAGTTTTTTTTTTCTTCCTATTTTCCTTTTAATCGTGAATGATAAAGCACGTCTTGCCATTTTTATGTCCAGAGAAAAAAAATTTGCATCCCCAAGAAAATAATGATTTTTGTTAAAGCTTCATTAGAAGTAGAACCACATTTCTGCTGCTTCAAGTCTCTTATTAATCCGGGGTTATATTGCATAACTGTGCTCTACACTCTTTTGATCATTATTATTATTTTGCCCTATGATGTTAAGGACCAAAGTCCTTGGTATTGCACTAGTGGTTGAAACATGGAATGACTCATAATTTATTCTGCATTCTTCGCTACAGATTGCAGCCCGGCAGAATGTCGTTTGAAGTTAAGCATTCGTGCATAACAGGTGTCAATGAATTCCTTAATGATGAAAGAAATGCATCGATTTCTTTTATCGACGATGGAGAACATTAACAACGACCAAACAATGGATGTAAGCAGAGATCGACAGTGGGTAATGCGTTTCAGCGGTGGTGATGGCAATTTGCGTGATAGTTAATGATACTTTTGGTACTGAACACTTGCTCTATCGAACGAGGTTAACGTTTATGCTGTTTTGGGTTTACTTTAACTGCTCATAATTGCGACCTATTATTTTCGGAGACACACACACACACACATATATATATATATATATATATATATATATATATATATATATATATATATATGACATTTAAATTTTAATCTTCATTTGTTTACGTGTGATACGCCATGAGCAGATATGAATGTACGTGAGATATTCATAGAAGTTTGAAGTTTAAATACAGTAAATTCGACCTTACTAACCGAACGCTCCTTCGTGGCCAAATCGGTACAGGCACGTCAAGCTAAATGACGGTTCTGTATAGGATACATGTTCGAATCCTGTCGGAGGACAAATATTTTCTGTGAAAATTTCTCGGACATTCAGGCCTGTAAATGTTGTTTAATACTGTTTATTATAAACAGAGCATTTACTTAAATATTTGTATCTATAAAAAGAATGTATAAACATAAAAATGTCTCTCTCTCTCTCTCTCTCTCTCTCTATATATATATATATATATATATATATATATATATATATATATAATTCATGTTTCTACTCCATTTTTCACGGAAATAACTTCCCCTACGCAGAAGTGAGTCAAGTAAATTCTGCAATGAATCTCCAACTGTAGGATATCTACCAACCGCCCTACGCGGTCAGATGTGGCACAAGGCCGAGTTAAATGTGGAATATCCCAGCCAGCTCGGCCAAAAATGGAGTCGGGTAGCTGTTTCTCGAGACGAGACTCTGCCCTTTGAAATAGCCCTGTCTAGGGATCCTCTCTGCCCAGAGTCAGAGAGTTTGACCAGCATAGCTGGAGAAGAATTTCCAGCTGCAGACCAACATACAGTATTTACTGCTGTGTTTATGTGAATGGGGACATAGCTATTATCGTCTGTATGTATGCTAAAACAGTTTGTCACTTCTTTTTACCCAATTTACACCCAATCATGGTAGTGAAGCCACTAAGACACAAACGGTGTGAAAGAACTAGAAAATAGAAACATTATTAAGGAAGGTGTTGAAACTTGACTAATGCATGGAATAATAATGCAACACAAAATGTGCTTAGAACAAAATGTATTGAAACAAGAAAGTGTACACAATATTTACATATAGTCTTTTGTATATTTCTGGGAAGACCGTTGCTGGAGAATGTGTTGACTTAGTCGCAGTCGGGCAGAGTCTCTGGATTGATTCTCTTGATTCCTCCCTCTCTCTTCCCGGTACCAACCATATTTATATGGTCGGTACTCCACTATGCAAATTAGGTGGATCCTACCACAACAGAAGGAGAATAGATTTTATTATTAAATAAATCCATTTTCTCTGATAGAATCCAAGTAAGAAAATTTGATTTAATATTTGCGAAAACCTAAGGTTTATTTTTCGGCAATATTAATTTTTGATAAGTTTGCTGTCATAAAGATTTTATTGTTAAGAATAAATTATGCATTTTAATAAATAGCGATCACTTGAATTTTCTACCTTTCATTTCAAGTCTATTTTCAAAGTGTAGATGAATAAATACCGTCTATCACCTGTGCCCCTGCAAGACTGTCTTTTACGACACTCTACAAGCACCTTATAGCACTTAGCCTTTGTTACATTGCCATCTTTCAGAACCCATGTTCCACTGGCAATTCATACAAGCCTTTCAGGTAAATATTTCCACGTCCACTGTCTCTTTTGGTTTCGATATGCCCTGTGGATGTCTAATTCTCTTAGCCTTCCTTCCTCATTATATATCCAAAAAATATCAGCTGACTCTTTCTGATTCTGAATAAACGTATCTTTTTTTGTTTCTGTTATGGCCCAGGTTAGGACCAAGGAAGAACAACACGAACACAAGAGTAGAAATAACGAAGGTATATTACACGAAATAATAATACAAGATGTGGAAGGTGTTAGTATGACTGTCAGTCTGGTTTGGAGTGAACTACTATCGGCTCGACTCGATTCGTCCATCTCTCTTGAGAGGCGTAGTAGACATAGGAAGAGTTCATTCTGTAGTAATAGGTAAGTATCCATGACAGTTTCCATTTTCGCTAAAACTTCCCCATTGTTCGTCTGTTCAGTCCATGGTATTCTTAGTATCCTTCTATAGAATGACATATTTGCGGTTTTCTCTCCATCTTTGAAGCAATTATTCAGCATCCATTACCATGACGATCGATATTACAAAGCAGCTTGCCACTTTTCTTAATGAAGTCTTTCTTTTTCATAGTTGTTGTTTTGGTTTTGGAATGCATCATAGTGTATGGTAGGATTTCGGTGTCATATTTCCAATCCTCTGTTAAAACACTTCCGGTATATTTAAATTCGATCAAATATATAAATTGTGTGTATACACTCAGAATCATGAAAATTAATTTCCTTTTAACAGTGACAAATTTCAAACCCACATAGCCAAAGTGAATAGGACTTAAACATTCCGTTTGAGACCCACCCCCGCTCACAGAATGGAACAATAAGAGATGTTTTCCTTGAGTTAGCGCCTATTTTTCAAAAAGAAAATGCTTTTATATCGCAGAGGAGCAAATCAAAAGGATTTGGTCCATGTAACACCATTTACCATTGTTAGTAAAATATAAAGAAAGCGGGGAAAGAAAAGAAAAAATAAATATAAAGGGAAAAGCGATAGAAGTAAAATGCAGAAAGAAAGAAAGGAAGAATGAAAAAAAAAATAATACGTAAATAAATATTGGAGGAAAAATAGAAAGGAAGTAAAAAAGGAAAGAAAAGACAAAGAAAGAGGGAAAGAAATGAATAAAAGCGACAATGAGAAAGTGAAATAGAAAAAAAAACAAAGAAATAAATAGGTTAAGCGTGAATGAAAAGTAAAATAAAAACTACAAAGAAAGAAAGAAAGAAAGAAAGAAAGAAAGAAAGAAAGAAAGAACCAGACCGGTTATGCAAAAAAAGAAAGGAAAAAATTAATAATACGTCTTGAAACTCAAAGAATGAAGAAATGAAGATGGCAGAAAGAAAGAAAGAAAGAAAGAAAGAAAGAAAGAAAGAAAGAAAGAAAGAAAGAAGGATGGAAAGAAGTGATAAAAATCAAGATAGAAAGACAGATACATAAATGGAAAGCACGGAGAAAGAAAGAAAGAAAGAAAGAAAGAAAGAAAGAAAGAAAGAAAAAGAAAAAAAGAAGGAAGGATGGAAGGAAGTGACAAAAATCAAGATAGAAAACACAGATAAAGAAATAGAAAGAGTGGGAAAAGAACGAAGGTAGAGTGATTCAAATAATAAAAAAATAGAGAAATAAGGAAAGACTGAGAGGGGAAAATGGGTTGAAGGAAAGAAAGAAGGAAAGGACGGAAGAAAGGAAGAAAGAAAGAGACAAAAATCAAGATAGAAAGACACAGATACATAAATGGAAAGCACGGAAAAAGAAAGAAAGAAAGAAAGAAAGAAAGAAAAAAAGAAAGAAAGAAAGGAGATGCAAATAAAAAATAGAGAAATAAGAAAAGACTGAGAGAGAGAAAAATGGATTTTAAAAAGGAAGAAAGAAAAAATAAACAAGTGATGATGAAGAGTGAAAATTGAAGATAGAAGCAAAAATAAATTACTACTGACTGCAAATAGAGAATTTATTAAGAAAGAAAAAAATGAAGCAATGAGAGAGAAAGAAAAGGAGAGAAATAAATAAATAATTAGATTGGAAGAAGTTAAGAAAAGAGAACAATACAGAAAGAAGGAAAGAATGAAGAAGAGATGCAAGCAAGGAATGAGGGGGTGGGGGGAAGACGTTTGTACAGCGTGAATAAAGACAAAAAACGTGAACTAATTGAAAGAATAGAAATTACTAAGAACGATAGAAAGAGAGTATAAAATCCTAAAACAAGGAAAAATAAAAACGTTAAGAAAGAAAGAATAAAAGAAAGAAAAAGACGAAAAGAAAGAAAGATTAAAAGAAAAAAAAAGACGGAAAGAAAGAAAGAAATATTAAAAAAAGAAAGAAAGAAAGAAAAAGACAAAAACAAAGAAAGAATAAAAGAAAGAAAAAGACAAAAACAAAGAAAGAATAAAAGAAAGAAAAAGACGGAAAGAAAGAAAGAAAGAAAGAATAAAAGAAAGAAAAAGACGAAAAGAAAGAAAGATTAAAAGAAAGAAAAAGACGGAAAGAAAGAAAGATTAAAAAAAGAAAGAAAAAAAGAAAGAAAAAGACAAAAACAAAGAAAGAATAAAAGAAAGAAAAAGACAAAAACAAAGAAAGAATTAAAGAAAGAAAAAGACGGAAAGAAAGAAAGAAAGAATAAAAGAAAGAAAAAAATGAAAAGAAAGAAAGATTAAAAGAAAGAAAAAGACGGAAAGAAAGAAAGAAAGATTAAAAAAAGAAAGAAAGAAAGAAAGAAAAAGACAAAAACAAAGAAAGAATAAAAGAAAGAAAAAGACAAAAACAAAGAAAGAATAAAAGAAAGAAAAAGACGGAAAGAAAGAAAGAAAGAATAAAAGAAAGAAAAAGACGAAAAGAAAGAAAGATTAAAAGAAAGAAAAAGACGGAAAGAAAGAAAGAAAGATTAAAAAAAGAAAGAAAGAAAGAAAAAGACAAAAACAAAGAAAGAATGAAAGAAAGAAAAAGACTAAAACAAAGAAAGACTAACAGAAATTAAAAAACGGAAAAAAAAAATGTTGGCAAGAAAGAAAGAATAAAGAAAGAAAGAAGATGAAAAAAAGAATAAAAGACGGGAAAAACAAAGAATAAAAGCAAAGAAAAAGACTTAAAGAAACAGAGAAAAAAGACGGAAAGAAAGAATAAAAAAGAAAGAATAACAGAAGGAAAGAAGAATAAAAGAAAAAATTCTGAAAGGAAGAAGAAAATAAAGAAGATAAGACGGAAAAAAAGAAGAAAAAGAAAGAAAAAAGACAGAAAGAAAGTATAAGAGAAAGAAAAGTGATGGAAAAAGTAAGAATAAAAAGAAAAGAAAAAACGGAAAGATTAAAGGAAAGAAAAAGATGAAAAAAGAGAAACTACCAGAAAGAAAAAGACGGAAAGAAAAAATAATAAAAGAGAGAAAAAAGACAGAAAGAAGAAAAGAAATAAAAAATGAAGAAAAATAAAAAGAAAAGAAAAAAGATAGAAAAAATAAAAAAAAACAATGAAAGAAAAAAGGTGCACAGAATAAAAGAAAGAAAAAAATACGTAAAAAAATAAAAATAAAAGAAAGATAAAGACGGAAAGAAAGAAAGAGTAATCAAAGAAATTGAAGGAAAGAAAGAATAACAGAAAGAAAAAAATGTAGAAAAAAGAAAGAAAAAGACGGAAAGAAAGAATAAAAATAGAAAAAACGGGATGAATAAAAGAAATAAAAAAGATAGCATAAAAAAGAAAAAAGGCGGAAAAAAGAGAGAATATTAGAAAGAAAAAGACGGTAAAAGGAAAGAATAAAATGACGAAAAAGACGGAAAGAAAGAATAAAAGAAAAAAATGGAAAGAACAAAAGAGAGAAAAAAATGGAGAAAAAAAAGTAAAGAAAAAGAAAGAATAAAAGTGAGAAAAAAGACGGAAAGAAAGAAAGCACGTTAAAATGAAAGAATAAAGTTAAAAGAAACAATAAAAAAGAAATATTTACGAATAAAAATAAAAATGGGAAAGACGGTAATAATTTGCAAAATAAACCTGAAAACCACAATAAGAAAGAAAGACTAAAATAAAAAAAATATTCCGATAGCAAATACGCTAACAGGTTTTAAACAAAGAAGCAAAAAAATATTTAAGGGAAGGAAATAGAAAAAAAAAAGTACCAGGCAATATCGAAGAAAAAGAATCCTGATTGGAATAAACGAAAACAAAGCGAAAAAAGTATCCAATAAAACTTGCTAAGCAAATCGGATCCATTAGCATTCATAAAAGCTCACGATGCATATACTTACGGGAAGCAATATCCTTGGTCGGAAAAACGAGACAAAAACGAAAAGAGAGAAAATCAGAGTCGAAGAAAGTTATGCGAAAAGTGACGGGCCACAAGAGAGAGAGAGAGAGAGAGAGAGAGAGAGAGAGAGAGAGAAAGAAAGAAAGAAAGAAAAAGCAACGCATCACTTACATTAAAATAGACATTCTTTTCGGTAACAGTAGGAGATATCCGATCGTAACAAGAAGGGCATCGCATCGGATTAAAATGCCGTCGCTTTTGGCTCGAAACGACGATTCTATCATACAATGGAAACAGAGAGATCTTGATGCATGACGCCATAATGGGTCATGCAAGGTCGGCGCCACTAAACGATGTTCGGGGTAACATTTGGCTCTTTCAAGAAAACATGCTAAAAGGTTTTGTCTGTAGATTGAGATGCAAAGGAGAAGTCGATTTGTTTTTGACCTTTTTAAAGGAAAACAGGTTTGCGCCCCTTTACAATAGAATGCTCTTTTCATTCCGTCGACAAATGTATGTCTTATAATACGCATATACTTATCAACCAACACATCAAAAGTTCTAAAGATAGATGGGAAGATATGAAAAATGAGAATGAGATAGATAGATAGATAGATAGAAAGATAGATAGACAGATAGTTACGAAATATAAAAATGACATAGATATACGAAAAATGAGAAAGAGATGAATAGATAGGTGTATAAATGTGATAATTAGAAATAGATAGATATGAAAAATGAGAATTATATATATATATATATATATATATATATATATATAGATAGATAGATAGATAGATAGATAGATAGATATAGATATAGATATATATACATACATACATAAAAAGATATAGGACGATGAGAGAGAATAAGTGAGAGTGAGAGATAGATAGCTATCTAGTTACATGAGCAAATATGAATTGAGAGATCATCAGGTATATATATATATATATATATATATATATATATGTGTGTGTGTGTGTGTGTGTGTGTTTGTATATATATATATATATATATATATCCGAATGTAATGAGAACGAAAATAATCTATAAATTCTAACGTTCGCGGCATTAATTCAAAAGAGTGCCCAATACCGATAGTAGAGCAATAAATATTTATTATAATTTTATCATATAGACAAAAACAATTTACTCACTACAACGATGCAACTTCGTTTCGGTGCATTTAGTTACACCTCAACAATTCTTTACCGAAATGCTATCAACAAGCACTATTATTTCACTCTGCCACCCTTTTGCCTTTCCTATCTTTTCTTTATCCTTACACGTCCTTTCTTATTATTTTTTTTGTTGTCAAAGAAATACAAAAAAGGAAGTGACGTTCCACGTGCGGCCTGTTTACAAAAAGAATTGTTCATAACCTAGTGAGTAAATTGTTTTTTTTATATATATGAAAAAGTGATTATATATATATATATATATATATATATATATATATATATTGAACAATACAAAATATAAAAAAATTAAAATCTTCAGACACACTGGATTGTAGGTTAATATTCTTTCTTTTTATTATTATCATTATTATTATTTCATTTAGATTCCTCGACTAGTTTCGGACAACATGGCCATCATCAGGAGAAGAAATATTTCTGCTTGCAGGTAGCAGTGAACTACAGAATGGAATGTCTTGATAGAGAAAACCAAATTTTGTCTGTAGTTTTCATTTGTTTTTTTTTATTTTTTTATCTTTTTAATATGAATCTTTTAACATTCTTTGTGTTGGCCAAACAGTCTCTTTTAAGTTGTTATTTGAGATAAGAGCTGGATGGATCTATGCTTCTCTGAATTCCCTTGGCCAGTTTGACAGTTTTATTGGTTCCTGGCGAGGATATATATATATATATATATATTAAACATTATAACATAAATATGTTATAACATCAAGACAAAATAGCCATTTTATTTCAACACTTCTGGTGTTTTATCAAGTGATGGTGTTGATTATAAAATAAAATGTTTTTTTAAAGAGTTCCAAACCAACTCTTACCTCCACTAGGGGGAATATTTTTACGTAAGATGTAATGGCCAATCAAATTACAAGTATATGATAATTCAAATAACGTGATAACGGGCCCTAAATACAAATTATAAATGCTTTAAAATTAATATTAGATTATATAGGAAATCAGGATACATAATTAATCTCCAATTTGTTCTATGATTAAAAAAATAAGTGTTATTAATATTAAACTTTAAAAATAACCACGCAAAGAAAAAAACGTAGAAAATATGAGTAAATTTTCATGTATTGTCCTTATTAATATGTTAAGGTTTCCGTCCGATTTTCAGCTGAAACAAGAGGTGCAATATATGGCTACAACATTGCTTACATTGACAGGGTTGTTATTAGAGATTTAGTGGACGAGAGAGAAAGGTTTATTGGCGACAAGAGAGGCATACATCATATCATAATGCACAGACACGTAAATATGATTGAATATATGAGCATGGAAATATACGGACGACAAATAAGCAGACTCATCAAGATTCAGTCATCCCAAAAACTACAGAGACAACGCAAACTACCCATCAAAATTACACAAAAATGTAAAATCTATATACAAATATATAAACATACGCACACGCATGCATATATATAAAGACATACGTATTTATATATATATATATATATATATATAATATTTATATATATATATATATATATATATATATATAAAAATACATATAGAAACATACAAAACATAAAAAAAAAATACAAACATATAAAATAAATAAATCTTTGTTTATTAAGTAAATTAAGAAATATGAAATAGAAAGTGGTATATTAGGCTATAAAACATAAAATAAAAAAAAAAATATATATATATATATATATATATATATATATATATATATATATATATATATATATATACATAAAATTATTTCATTATTATACTATTATTGCTATTCTTATCCAAGTATCAATTTATCAGTTAAATTCGATGCTGGTGAGAGGAATACCAAGGAATAAATCATATATAAGGCATACCAATGCATGTAAAACATATATAAATCATATACATATACGCATGCGCACAACAATAAAAATATCAATATAGGAAAAATATATAAATATACGAACATGGACACCCATATATAAGAACAGATGTAAGTGGACATAAAAAAACAAGCACATATAAGCACAGACATAAAAGCATGCACGTAGAACATCTGTCCATATAGAACAGGTGTAGAAACAAAAATACTCACGTACAAACACTTACAAAAATAGCCATATTACATTCAGTCTATATAAGATTAATTCAATAAGAGTACAACTATTCAATATTAACTAAATAATCCACTTTGTATTGAATTCTTAGCAAATAAATGTAGATAAAATTTTAAATTTTAAGGACAAAAACAATCCAAACTTACAATAACATCTAATCTTTATATACAATATTGTATCTAGCTAGAAAAGTTAAAAGGTACTTTATGCCTGCAGTTAACAGTGAGAGTATTCCGTTGATTTAAAAGGTTTATCTTCTCTTTAAATCTAATGATTTCTAGCTTTTCATTGAGACAGAGGTAGCATGGTGCATATAAAGAATTACAATACGAGCTCTTCTAATCAACTTCCATTTAAGAGTGGGAGTTTTGTTTTTCTCCTGTAAAAACCAATAATACTTGGACAGCGAGGTAGCATGTTTATGAGAACTATATTTCAAGGAAAAAATATACTGGTACCAACGGCGTTTAAATGGATTTTTAGTACTACCAATATATATATATATTTAATATTTAGGTTTTCAAGTGAGAAAATAGTACTAAGATGAGGAAACTAGTTTGACAATTGTTTTGTAATGGTCAATCATTTGTATTCCTACAGTTACATCCACCGATGTTGATATTATGATATTTAATATTGTTTAACGCATCACTTCTGTTCGTCATGCCCTTTGAGTTTTATATCTGTTAAATACCTTATTATTATGTTTATTATTAAATTATTATTATGTTTATTATTAAATTATATTTTTAAGGTTATACGCACAACTATAACTAAGTTTAAAAGTATTTTTATTGAAGATTTTACTAAGCCTATTCATTTTAGGAAAATGTTTTTTAATAAGATTTAAGAATTTTAGTCCTAACTTACTTTTAACCATGAGATTAAAAAGTGAGGGTGAACCGCATGTAAGCACATTTTGAGAATAGTGCGATCTAGTTTAAATTCTCATTTTTTTCTCATACCCTAGTTTCCACCCAAGGTGTTGGAATTTAATTTGAGAACAACAATTTCACAAGTTCACATTCTCGCTATTTTTTCTATCCTCATTCCAACCTCTTTATAATTTTAAAACCGTTTCCCAAAGCCCTGATTCTCATCAGAGATAAGAATATATTTTCTGACTAACGAGAGAGCTGGAAAATAAAAAGGAATTCCATCACCATTATTCTTTCTATGGTGCCAAAAACTCTGGGGGAAACTTCACAGCTTCTTCACTTCAACCTGTTTTTAGTACCTTCGAAATCGGCACCTGATTCTTTTCAGAGTTAAGAATGCGTTTTCTGACCAATAGAGGGGCCAGGAAATTTGTACAACGATTTTGGAGGGAAAAGTCCCGATCCATCGGAGCCTACCAAACCTTCATAAATTTGGAGAACCTTGCCTATTTTGCCAGTGAGTAATCTGCCCACCGTCTGTGAGGTCGACATTAGGGAGCTCCAGAACCTCTTTCACCAAAGAACTACCTCTAAAGGGCTGTCAAGAACGAACGTCGGTCCACTATTCAAGACCAATCCAAAGCTGCTTCCTTTCACCACTCCTTCTGACGAATTCACTGGACTTCTGTTGTCGACCTACAAACTCACTCAAATTGCAGGATTCCTTCACCTGCGAACAATTTTCCCACTCTATAAGAACTTTGAGTGTCTCTATCTGAACCTTAACAATAATATTCTAATCTCTTAAAGAACTCTTTAGGCGCTCAGAGAAATATTTTGAGCAAGCCTTTTTTCTGTTAAGAACTTTTTCTTTTTTCCCTTTCTTTCTCTCCTAATTGTCCTTTCATCTCTTTACCCTTTTTTTTCCTTATTATGTAAATAAACACTTTCTTCTTTTGTTGTTGCTCACCGAGCAGGAGTTTTTTTTCTTTATTCGTACGCGCCTAAAAGAGAGAGTTTGTCCGCTCTAATCTTGTGGTTTTACTCGCGATTTTTCGAAATTTTTAACCTCAGCCCTTTGATGCGGGAAACCCGGGACAAATTTCCTAGCAAAGGGCATCGGACCCCGTCTATCCTGCTCTTTTATCCTTAGTAAATAGTCGGAGAGAAATGGATTCATAACTTTCAAAAGCGTATTAACATTTAAGTGGATGTAATAAACTCGACTGGTATTCGACTCCGAAAGTTATTTTGATTTATATAACCCACACGGATAAAAATATAGAAAAAAGAATTTGGAAATGCAACTAAAGCAACAATTATTAAAGAATTACAAAAACGAACTCTGTGCGCATCAAATATTCAGTCCTGTAACTCAACAAACAAACACCAAAATACAGAAGCAGAAAACATTATCCACAACAATATGCGACTAGTGTGATAAGACCTATGACTTAAAAATGCACTCGAAACACATAAACAAAGCAAAAGACAGCCAAACTCCCTAAAAGACGTCTTGCT